TCAGCTTACTGGAAGAGCTTCCATAATAACTGTTCTTCAGTAGTTGCATCTCCCCCCACTCTTCCACTTTCAGTTTAAATCTGTAAGATGTCAGAACTGGTAATCATAAAAGTAAAACACATTTTAAATCTTAGTTGCATACTTAGTCTCTTTAAAAATGTGACTTACACTTTTGTTTCCAGAAAAGAGCTTTGATGGAACAAGTAGCACACCAAGCAGTTGTAATGCAGTTTATTCTAGAAATGGCCAAAAGTTGTAATGTGGATCCTCGAGGATGTTTTCGTCTATTTTTTCAAAGAGCAAAAGTAAGTCATGGTTTTATTTTAATGCTAGTGAAGCTCTTGCAGCATCTGTGAGGCAACAGTGTGCAAGAACAGCTAAGATTTCTTAGTGACAGCTGCAAGCTAAAAAAGTGCTAAGCGAATGGCCACAGGCTCTAAGGGAAAGGTTGAGTTGTTGGCAGTCTTTTGTGCAATAAATGGTCTGTAACCACGAGAATGGAAGTCCTGTGAATTTAGTTGTGTTGTTAGGTGTGCCCAAAAGGGAACTAAACATAACATTAATGTATACTTCATATATGATCATGTAACATCTTACATGCACAAGTGATACAGGTTGATGAAAACTGTCTCCCATTTCCTCTGGTATCTTACTCTCTGAAAGAGGATAGCTCTTGCAAAATCAATATTTTTCTGCTCTAGCTATAAAAGCAGACACTAAGTATCTGTGAAGTGTTCTAGAACACTAAAGATGGAGTTCTTGAAGTATGAACTGATGTTGAAACACACCTAACACTGTAAAAATTCAAGAACTCCATCTTTAATAAGACATTTGAAATTAATAAAGTTTAACTGCAATACCCATGTTTAAACTGTACATTTTACAAAAAAAATTAAACAAGAATTGCTAAGCAGGCAAGGTGATTTCTTAATCACAACTAATAAGCATCCTTTCTCTCCCTCTCCCCTCCCCTCCCCCAAAGTGGGGAGCCTGTGTTTGCACTCCAGCCTTGCTTGACCCCTTCACCTCACTGCGAGGTTGGAGCACCAGTTCTTGCTTCCTGCTGGGAACGCAGAGGAGAAGAAAACCCTGAGCCTCATCACTAGAGCCAGCTCGTGGGGAGAGCAAGTGGCTCTGTGCACTGCTGCTTCCCCTCCCCCTGGCTGGGGGAACAGCAGTGCATGGACTTGCTGCCTGGAGAGTTTCCCCACTGCTCCCATTGGCCAGAATCACAGCCAGTGGGAGCAGCGGGATGCCTTGCCTGGGACACGTGCCTGGGAGTGGTGGGGGGCGTGTAGCCAGGTAAGCTTCCACCCATTCTCCTTATGTCTAGACTCCATACCGTCAGCCTGCTCCTGCATCCTCCCTCGCTCCAGCACCCTCCCTCCTGGCCAGATACCCTTCCCCTGCCTGCTCCTGCACCTTCCCCTGTTCCTGCACTCTTCCTATGGCCAAACACCCTCCCGCCAACCCACTACTACACCCTCCTTCCCTCCCAGCCAGACTCCACACCCTCGCCCCTTCTTGCAACCCTATTCCTCTCCCACTCCCTGGCAGCCTCTTCCCACACTCCCTCATTTTTGGCTTCATGCCAGAACCTAGGGGGCTCACAAAATCTACAAACCCTGGGACACCCAAAGAGTTAATTTGGCCTGGGGAAAGTCCTGAATCGTGTTCCTCTCTCCCCTCCCCACTTCAGCCCCATGGGGTATCTCATTTGGGGTCCACATCAGTGAGGGTTGGGGTTGGTTTTGGGGAGGAGGTTTCCTCTCACTTTTGTGTGCCCGCCCAACTGGTTTTTCTGTGAATCAGTGGGCCCCAACTCAAAAATGATTCTCCACCTCTGCCATAAAGACAATGTTAAAACGTTTTGTTTTGAATAGAAATATTTGAGTTTATTTAATACAAAGTTTGGTAAACTTAAATGAAAGTTAAAGTTAAAGTGCTTAATCTAATTATTTTGATTAATATTTCCTTTCTTCCGAAATATTTCCTTTCTTTGTTATAGCTCCAGTAGCCTAAAGTGAATAAATTACTATTTAAGGTATTTAGAGATAAGCAAGGCATTTTGTTATCAGGGGTGATTGGTGGTCCACTGAAAGGATTGCATTGAGTGGGGTGGGCCAAAAAAATTTGAGAATGACTGCACTACAATGCACCTCTATACCCATTTCAGCAGTTTGTACTGTTTCTGGCTGGATTGCCTCAAATCAAAGGATGTCTTGTGTTCACTGGGCTTGAATTTGTCCACTGCTATGAAAGAATCTGAAGATCTTTCAAGTACTTTGATGGTTCATACTGCCAGATTCACTTGCTAGAGAATGCCTTGTCAGCTAATGGGGGTCCTTGCTTTAAATAGCATTGACTTGCTTCTGAAGAGAGTCCGCTACTGAGTATCCCCTGTCCTTTCAGCTTTTAAGATGAAATGGGTTAAAATTAGCATCTCTTCACAGCTCCTCAGATGCAAGAAATTATCCTTTTCTCATTATCCCAGCCAAAAATATTTTAACCACAGTTCAAATAAAAATCAGAAAAGCCACCTAAATTTTCTCCTGATTTTTCACAAAGCTGTTATTGGTTTGTCTACAGTGTTTTCATCTAAAATGTGGTGGGGGTGGGGAGGGGAGCATGGGGAGAAGGGGCTGTTTCATTTTCATTGTGTAGCTTTTTTCCTCAGTAATTTGTATATTTATATAGACGAAGTTTTATCTCTAAATTTGAGTTTAGAGAAGTACTTAATTGACAACCTTTTCTTCATACAGGCAGAAGAAGAAGGTTACTTGGAGGCTTTTAGAAATGAACTCGAAGCATTCAAATCAAGAGTGAAAATCTGTTCTCAATCACAGAGCTTTCAGGCTATGTCCGTTCAGAATCCCATTGCCAATACTGGTCTCAGCTCCTTTGGAATGTTGGAGTTTTTGCCACAGGTAGGTTCTCAGCAAATCCATTTCCAGAAATCATGTAGGTGTTTTAGGAGCAGAGTCTGCCATGTTTGCTCATGTAAAGTAGTAACTTTTAATGTCAAATAAGACTACTTATGGAGTAAGCTACTAGATGGGAGTGAAGTTACATCCTGTAAAACATCTGTTACATGCCATGTTGAGAGAATGAGGAAGTACTACTTAATCAAAAATACAAAATAGTATACTGATACTCACCAAGCCAGTAGTAGTACAGCACTGCAGAGTGCATGGTTTCTTGAAGCACGTAAGCGTATACAGAACCTACTGTATAGAAAACTGTATCTTAGACACTACGGCTATGTCTGCACTCGTGGCTTCTTGCATGAGTAACATGCAAATGAGGCTAAGTGTGGAATATCGCCAAGCTTCATTTGCATACCTAATGAGCTACCATTTTTTTTCAGAAGAGGCTCTTGTGTGAGAAGGAGAGTCTACACTGCCCCTTCTTGCGCAAGAAAAACTCTTGCACAATGCCGTTACACCTATTATTTTTCAGGAAGAATGGCATTGTGCAAGACGGTTTTTCTCGTGCAAGAAGGGGCAGTGTAGACGCTCCTTCTTGTGCAAGAGCCTCTTCTGAAAAAAATGGTGGCTCATTAGGTATGCAAATGAGGCTCAGCGATATTCCATGCTTAGCCTCATTCGCATATTACTCACGCAAGAAGCCGTGAGCGTAGACATAGCCTACATGTAGATGTGCTGCCCACAGCGACAACACGAAAATTATACTTTGATTCAGAAGGCACTTCAGGATCTTGCAGTGCTTCAATGTCATTGATATAAATATCATTAACAATTGTAGATGTAGAACAGGGGTGAGCAAAAGCCTCTCAGCAGGCCTGATACGGCCCATGTGGCAATTCTAGACCCCGCCTCCTCGTGCGTTGCCTGAGAGCCAGAGATGTGTGAGCTCTTTTAAATGCTTCTATTTAAAGGGCTCACGCCTGCTAGGCAGTTGTGTTGCCTGGCAGCCATCCAACAGGTGCAAGCTCTTCAAATAGAAGCAACTGAAAGGGCTCACAGCTACTGTCCCTACAGTAGCATGTTGTCTGGGAGCCAGTGACTTGCTAGCCCTTTCAACTGCTTCTATTTAAAGGACTTGTGTCTTCCTCATAGCTGTCAGGCAACAGCCTTGGGGAAGGCATGAGCCTTTTAAATAGAAGGAGTTGAAAGGGTTCTAGAGTGCCGGCTCTCAGGCAACATGAAAGCAGCGAGCCCTTTAAATAGCAGAAATTGAAAGGGCTTACAGCTCCTGCCCCCTACTAACGTGATGTCAGGGAGGCGCAAGCCCTTTCAACTCCTGCTGTTTAAAGGCTCTGCCTTTTCTGCCTGAGGCTTTGCCCTTTCTGGGACATCCCTCAACCACTTCAGAAATTTTTCAAGTGCCCCTGTTCAAAAATTATTGTGCACCATTGATGTATAACAGTGGTCCCCAACCTTTTGAGGCTGCCAGGCTTCCGGGAGTGGAGCCACGCAGTCACTGCGTGCCCGGGATCACAAAAATGGCTTGGGCCAGCCCTGATTTATGTGGGGCACACAAATGCCCCTGCGGGTGCCATGGTGCCCGCGGGCACCACGTTGAGGACCACGGTTATACAGCTCAGTCCACCCTGTGCGCAAATCAGATCCCTTCCAGGGTATACTTGTAGTGGGAGTCCATCTCGGTGCCCTCTGTAGTGTCTCAAGTCTGTTTCTCCCTTCCCTTCTCCCCCTTTCCCTCCCCCCACACACACTCTACAGAAAAGAGTGGTGCCCCAAGGCTTCTCTTCCTGGCAGCAGCAACTTTGCCATTACCTCAGGGATTTATCTCCAAGACCTGGCATAATCCACCAGTCTGCCGTAAGTTCTTGTTAGGTCCTGAGTCCCTGCCTGGTGCTCAGGCCTGTACATCCTGGCGGCCCCTTTAAGACCAGGGCAGGAAGATGTGCCAACAAACAAACAAGTCCCCACAGTCAAAATGGCAGCCCGGGGCTCAGTTCAGGGCAAGGCAGGCAGGCAAGCAAACAGTTTCTGCAGCACAAGTGGAAAGGAGGAGACTGCCACTCAAATGCAGGGATGGCAGGGGCGGACGTGGGCCCTCCCTACTTCACCATGTCCCGGCCCAGGACCCTAGTAGTGGCAGCCTCGCAGCCACTGGGGTCAGCAAGGGAACTACACCAAAGCCCACTGACTCAGCTTAAAGGGTGATTAGATCTGCTTGATCATCTGTTGCTTTCCCTGGGCCACTTCGAGACTCCGCCTCTGGTTGTACCTGTTCCCCCCGGGCGGGTCCCCAGGGTCTGTATGGTCCCAATCTAGATGTAGGGAGAAAAGGGTCTCCTTCTTTGAGCTGGCGCCTGGTAGCCCAGGCCAGTCGTCCGCCTCAGGAGGCTCCTCAGCCTTCTCATGGTAGGCTGTGGCTCCCTCCAACAACTTGGCCCCTACTGAGCCTCTGGCCTAGCTTTTATACTTCCTGCCCCTCCCCCACGCTGCTGCAGACTTAAAGGGGCAGGCTCTAGCTCAGCCCATCCAGGCTCAGAGAGGGTTTTCCCTCCTCAGGGGCAGTGAGCGGCCATCCCTGCTCACTACCGTTCTTCATAGGGAGTTGTCCGCGGTGTCACTGTGCTATCTGCCAGACTGTCACCCAGTCTGCACCCCTTGAGCTCCACACTGCCACTAGCTGATGTTGTGCTTTGCAGCTCCTTTTACAGGGCCATACTATTCCCTGATTGGCTGCATTCCCCTTGCAGCCACTTTACCCAGCGTGGAGGACTTCTCTATAGCCTTTCTGGAGCATGTGAGACAGGACCACACGGCCTCCAGCAGGGGGCCACAGCATCTGGTCCACCCCATCATATAGCCCTAATGCGTTAAATATGTAACCTCCTTGCAAGTAATTTCATCTGCTTCAACTATGCTGGAGTAAACACTATTATACAACTGATTCTATAATTTAGTTATGTGTTTCATATTGTAGGAAGTGCAAATGAGCTTCCAAGCAAAAATTAGCATAATGTTTTCTTTAAGGGGAGCATAGGAGTAATCAAAACTTTTAAAAAAAATCCAGCCTGTGCTAGGAGAATGGGAACTGCAAAATACCTTTGTAAAACACTAAGGTTTCAGTATAGGTGGCTTTGGATTTTAAAAGGTGTTGGCAGTAATGGTCTTAAACAGAAAGGAAACCATAGGGTTTTTTCCCACTTGGATAGTTGAAAGGGATCAAAATTAAGACATTAGTTTTGAAATCATTTTGATCGAGATGAACCTATACTCAGCTTCACCGTATCTGAGTTAATTTAGAATAAAATTATATTTCTCTTGAGGCTCAATTTTTATAAGCTGCATAAAAGCTTAGTACAGTCCTACATTTCAAGGATAAGGGGATATGTTTTTACTGAGCTACATTACCAGTGGTCAAAGGCAGATACTTAGGCATCACACTAACTTGCTTCTTCAGTGTGAGATGCAGACAAGGGAGCTAGGTGAGGTTTGGGGAGCAGATTAGGGTACAGAAAGGGGGGGTATGTATGCTGGCTCTGGAGGTAGTGTCAGGGCTGGGATTTGGGAGGAGTTTGAGATGCTGGTTCTAAAAAGGGCTTGTGGTGCAGGAGGGAGTGCAGCTCTGAGGAGAGGCAGGGAAGCAGGGTGCTCTTAACTGTGAAATGCAGACAGTTAATGGGAGCTAGGTAAGTCACTTGAAAGTAGACAAGTGCAAAATTTGAATCTCAGTATTGTGTAGAATTAATGTTTTCTTCTGTTGCAGACTTCAGACTCTCTTCAAAGCTACGTGAACACAGGTCTTTGTAACTTAAACTCATTGGTACAGAGAGATGATGAGGAATCCAAAATGATGGACACAATATAATATTCTTAAGACTGAGGCCAAGTACTTTTATTACAAGGAAAAGAACATGGCTATCTTTTTTACACTTATTTTTTCTGGGTGCTGCACTTTATTTTTTGCATTTTGTTTGGGGGTGGTTTTTTTGGAAGGAGAATAATCCAGAAACACATTTGTCATGTTTGAAAATGTGCTGCTAGAATTTTGGTTCCCTTTTAGGAGAGGGATTCTCATCTGTTACCGAATGTGAAACTGGATGTTTTTTCTGCTACTAAACTCGCCTTTTAATCTTAATTTTAGGAATCAAAGACAGACAAAGAAATCTGCATACATACAATGTTTACGAGAAATGGTTGATTCTAAGTGGAATCTGCTATAGAATCTATTATAGAAATGGACATGTCTTGTTCTGTGAATACTAAAGATCATAATTGTACTCATGATATACTGCTGACATAGTAAGCTTTCAAATCTGAATTTATCATGTTAATAGCAATAAATCAAAAGCTGATATCAATTAGGCAGGCCTGGGTGGCTCAGATTAAAAGCAGTGGGTTTTTTACCTCTAATGCAGGGATTACATTTTTACTTCATGCTTTCAGACAAAGGACTCTGTCTCTAAACTGTACATAACTTGAAGTGTATAACTGCTTCAGAGTGAGTTTTGAGACCCATTTCTAGCAGGCATAGTTACTGAAAAGCTGATTCTTCTAACAGTGTTAAAAAAATATTAAGACTCCATAACAAGAATCTAGCATGAATGAATATTTGGCTAAGGGAGGGAGGACAATTTCAGAATAAAATTGTACAGCAGCCTGGTTCTCTTCTTCGCTATTAATAATGAAGAGAGCCTGCATGCCACACACTGAATGAACACTATTGATCTTTAATTTGTTCTGGCATTTCAAGCTTTCCTCAGTTTACAAAGGAAAATAATCTAATGATTATTGCCAAGTGGCTAACTGGTACTCATAACAAAACATAGGGAGGTATCTTAAGAGCCCTCTGCAAACCATAACAGCCTTTGCATCTAAAACTATTAAGCTTTCCTAATAGTTTTCCATTTTCTTCTGTTGTGTACACAGTCTCATTGTAGCTGGGCTATTTCAGTGTGGGGTTGACCCTCCCTAGGACCATAGCATAAATGCTTAGATATTTTTCTCATTTGACAATGAAGAAACTATGTATTAGTTTATACTTCTTGCTTCACATTCTCTACTGCTTACTAACCCTTTTTATTGACACGAAGTGGTGGGAAAACTGCCAGATTTCTTGAGCCTAATACCCAAGCTGGTGCAGAACTAGTATTGACATTTTGAAAAACTGCTGTGATTTGGCTCTTCTTTGCTGGGTGATAGCTATAGACGGTATTTCTGTCTTGGAGTGGCCCCTAGCCTGTCCTAACACAGGTAGGGTCCAGCATTGGCACAGATACAGTGACAAACAGAGCTGCAACTGCTTCCTTTCTGGCTCCTCCTTTGTCCCCTTGCGGCCAGCAAAGTCTGGGCCTTGATCTCCAGATTCTGGTTATGGAAAACTATAAGAGCATTTCTTCTTTCCAGTACTACAGCAATCTTATGGATGGGAATTAGAGGTGAAAACAAGCAAGCTTTAAGAAATGCTTACTGGAACTTCATTAGAATATGTCAGCTACTATGTTTGATACAGAAACAACTTCAGTGGCACATTCTCTCTAGTATAGCAGTATAAACACTTGTGATCTCTCTAGCACTGCCTCACTGAGATAAGGTTACTGCTCCCAGCAGGTTCTAACCAAAAGCTGCAGAGAATAAGTATATTCTTCCATACTATAAAACCTATTCTAGTTGAGTGGTGTCCATGAAACACAGTGAGGGAAAGATTGCAGGAGGGCATCTTTCTCTTATTAGTGAGAAGTGACCTTACTATGCAGGGGTAACAGAGCCCTCCCAATCCATAGATATCTGCTTTATATCCATACCTGAGGATGTCATTGTGGATATCTGTGGCTCGTTTTTGTGAATCTAGAGACCAATGCCATGCAGTGCTCTAGTAACAGAACCCCTTTAGTTAAAACTATCTACTCTATGCAGTTCATCCTGTGACATTGCAAATTTTCTTGTGCAAAGAACCAAAATTTCATCTCCAGGTGCATGTTGTTCTACTATCTAAGCCCTGAAGTTGTTGCAGGAATGTGGAGGACAGTACACACTTCTGCTACGATTAAGAAGTATCCGGGTCATATTGAAGATAAGACAGCCAATATCCGGTTCTTATGGAAAGTGAAGACATATTTGGGCCAGTGAAGATGGGAGAGGAGCAGTTTTTGTCTGGAAATGGCCCAGAACCCCCTGCAATACTAGCGTCAAACGGAAATATAGAATTCAAGGTTCCTTGTGGGAATGTTGTGGATAATGACCATTAAAGCAACAGTCCCAAGGATTCCAGTCTCTGATATCTAGAAGTGTTTCTAGACAAAAAGGCTGGTGGCTGCAAATTTTTTGTCACAGTCCTTTAGAAGATAATGTATCTGAACAGTACCTACCTCAGCCTTGCACTTGCAACAAATGAAAAGCTTTCCATATTCCTCCGATGCTTTTCTTGGAATGCCAGTACTGAAGAGCTCACACTCAGCTGTCCAAGTTTCTCCACTTTGACTGAATGGGTTTTGGATTAAGTTTTACAGATTAATTTTCTGCAGTATACAGTATTGTGAAGCCATACAAGACTTGTGAAAGGTGAGGTACAAAATCCTCATTATAAGCAAAATTTTAATTTTCCAATGCTTGTTGGATTATTTCATAGGGGCAGAATGTTGCATTGTGTTACTGTAGTTAACACTATTCATACTAGTACCTGCAAATTTTCAGTGTGTGATTTATACCCTATGGCAATGATCCATTTTGAAAGAGGGGACTGTCATAACACAATAGTACAATCAAGGAGTTTGAACTGTAACTAGCTCTCAGTTTATTACTCTGCCTCTATCTACCCCACTTTTACTACATGACTTTAGTATCCATATTACGTAGCTGAAGCCATCTTTTCTATAGCACAGCAAGTATATTATATGCATGCATTTGATACACTTACTGAAAAGTGTTTGATAAACAGGAGCAGTTGTAATACCTGCTGTAATGTGAATTTTGAACACTTGTAATCATTTTTTGTAAGTGATCTTGCCTAATGCATCATGTCAAGGAAAAGATGTTGATGCTTTTACTCAAATCCATTTTTCTAGAAGTCCTGGTAACTATTTCAGAAAAAGGATACTGACTTTTTGGCAAAAGCACAGACACAAAACTTTGGTTGCTTTTATTACAACTGGTCACTATTTTACAATAATTGGGTAAATTTAATATAAAAATACAGCTCTAAAATGAGGGTACAGAAGTGAAAAATCTGAATGCATAAAGTTGAAAAGCCGAGGGGTGAAAATTTTGAGATTAGACCTTAGCTACTGGTTAGTTTGATATTCCAACAAAACTGAAAACCATGATCCTTGACAATCACTCAGGAAAATAGAGAGGACAAGTACCTTGGACTCATCAACAAGCAGCAATTTCATCTGTGTGAGGCAGCTTCCTGCTGGCTCACTTCTGGCAACTTGGTTTGGAGGAAAGCATGCACCTGGGGCCAGATCTTGTTGGTTTCTGTTCCAGAGAAGGATTCCAGTACACCTTTTTTTCTGAAAAAAACAAAAAAAAGAACAGCTTGGCTGTGTCTACATTGGTGCGATCTTGCGCAAAAGCAGCTGCTTTTCCGCCAAAACTTGCTGCCTTTTTATGCTGGCGGTGAGTTCTTGCACAAGAACACTGACATTCTAATGTGTGAAATCAGTGCTGCTTGCACAAGAACTATAGTGCTCCTGCTCAGGAATAAGCCCTCTTGAGCAACATGGGCCAGTGTAGACAGGCAACATGAATTTTGTGCGCAAGAAAGCTCTATGGTTAAAATGGCCATCAGATCTTTCTTGCGCAAGAGAGCATCTAACACTGGCAAGGATGCTCTTGCGCAAAACCACATGCCAGTGTAGACGCACTCTTCTGAAAGAGTTTTTGCACAAGAAGTCTTCCGCAAAAGAGTTCTTGCACAAGATCATACCAATGTAGCCATTCAGACAAATCCGTTTGGTCCATTTTATCAGTCTCTCTCCACTTCAGAGTTGAAAGGTACATCAGAGATTGTCCTTGTGAAAGTATAGCAGCAACACTGTTTGACATGTAAGAGGTCAACCCCAAGTAAGGCTGTTAAGAGATGGGTAACTGACTAATGATGCAGTCAATAAAATTTGCATAAGCTGCCTAATTAGGCTATAAGGGGAGGTGCTCTGTCCCAGCTCACCCCAGTCCAGGACATACTCCCACTCTGACTAAATTTAAACTGCAGAGGCGCAGCAGTCCCTAGTTCATGGGAGGCAGGGCTGGCCACAGGCCAAGGCTGTTCTTCTGTGCCCCCCACCCTCTGATAAAAAGGCAGCAAGATAGGAGAGAAAGCAAGTAGTCAACTCGATTACCCCATAAGCTCAGGCTGATTGGGTACTTGACTACTTGCTTACAGCCATAACACCAAGAGCAACCTTGTTTTCTAAAACAAGTTAGGTGTGCCAAAGGTGTTATGCTTTGTTTCTGGAGGGACACAGATGAAGGGAAGAGTCTAGATCTCAAACAGGAATAACTACTGAACTATGAAGGAAACTGAAATGAAGAATGAAGACTCAGTGTTAAGCTACGCAGATACCTCATAACAAAATAATTGACTCAGGCTTGATTTAGGGCTGTCAATTACTGGTACAATATATTTCATTATATATAATCCAGTAGGTTAAACACTCAGTTTTAAAGTTATTGCCTATAAACTAACAGAGTAAAAGTGTGGCAACTAATTTACCTTGTGACAGTTTAGTTGCTCCATAGATGTTCTTTCTATGGCATTTGCACACAGTACACTTATCATAGGCCCTAATCCTACAATGAATCTGGGTCCTCAAAGTTCACTGCAGTCAAAACCACTGCTGACCTAAAGTACCCTCTGCTCCACCTCTTCCCTCCAAAGAAAGAGCTCCCTTCCTATAGAAGAAATGCAGGGAATTATTGGAAGACATCTGCATATTTCTGGAGTGACAATCAAGGAATGAGATAAATGTCTATAAACATCTACATGAGAATCCATTGCCACTCCAATGGTATTAATAACATATATACACTAACTATAGCCAACACTTTTGCTTGAAGAGACAGATTTGGAAAAAAACAACTGTTCCAAGGATTGACCACTATTCTCTCCCCATTTTTCCCTGGCAATACAGCAGACCATAGTCTCCCATCACATACCTATTTCTAAGGTGTTGGACTCAAATTTTGCATTTAATTCACAAATTTTTCTACGCAATCCCATTCCACTTATTGATTTTTAGACCTTTATCCCCTAACAACTTTTACTATCCTACGTCCTTGGCCATCTTGTGAGAGAAAAGTTGGCAGAGGTGATACAATTCTGGGAAAAATACGTACTGAAATAGAGCTCCACAACTAAGGAATTGGCCCTTGCTTTGGAAGTTCATGTTTATGTGCTGCAAAGCATCCTATGACTTCCGTAAAAGATGTCACACAATTATTGTACCTTTTTTGTTCTTGAAATAACTTGGAAAAGAGGTTTTAATCCAGTAAATAGGGAGCTCCACCTATAACCCAACATATATCATTACACTTTGGTATTTGTGCTTTTGAAGAAAAAAAAAAAACCGGTTGTTCCTCTTCCTGCTAAGGTGGACAGAAATATTTTTATTTTACTACTTACTTGTAATAGTCTAGAACAGGCTTTGTCTGTGCCTCATAAGCCTTCAGTCTCTTGGTAACAGTCTCTGGCTTGTCATCATCACGCTGAAGAAGTGGCTCTCCAGTAATATCATCGGTCCCCTAATTGTGGTTAAGAACAAAATGGCTTTATATTTCTGCTTAAGCAGACTTTGTGTTATCCTGTTGGTATCAAGTTCCAGTTAGCCAAATGAAAAAAATAACTTTCAGCTAAAGCAGAGGGCAAGCTACCATCCATATCTTTTCTGTAATGGTCAGATGTTGATTTTCTGCATTTACAAAACATACAGCCTCAAACACCAGATTAGGGATGTTAAAATTATATAAATCAGTTGAATAGTCGATGGTATTTCCATCGACTATTTGATTAGTCGATAAAGGTACTTCCACTTTGAAATGTAGCAAGAGCCCGCCCAGCTATTGCTAAATTTCAAAGGCGGACATGCCATGCAGTGTTCTGCCTTTGAAATGTACAAGAACACCAGCAGGGACATTTGAAACCCACATGGAGCCAGGGGCCAACGGGGAGTCCCTGCTGAGCCAGGCTTCATGCAGTGCTTCCGCTTTGAAATGTACAAGAGCCCTAGTGGAACTGGAGCTGAGGGGAACCAGCTTTTAAGCCAGCTCTCCCCCACATGCCCAGCTGCCTCTTTTTGATAGAGGCAGCAAGGGGGGAAGCGACCAGTCGACTAATGTGTCAACTATCCGATTAGCAAAAGCTTATCAGATAGTCGACTAGTCGCTTACATCCCTACACCAGATGCATGGTATTGCTATGGTTTTCAGATTGTAGTAGAGGAGCACAATTCAGTGAAGTCACATGCACTGCACAAAGGAACCTATGCAAAGCAGGGATGTTAAAATGCATTTAAGTAATTGTGCAACTGCTTGCCCCTAGCACCCCACTGCTGCTGCTGTAGCACAGGAACCAATGCAAGGAGGGGACAGGCTTTTAAGCCAGCTTCCCACGCATACCCAGAGCCTCACAGAGGTTTACCAGTGAGCTCTTGCTCATTGGTTAACAATGTACACTATTACACTTTCATATCCATAATACACGGTGTTCCTTGACATACAATGGATCGGAATGGATGTTTAAAATTGTTTCAGTAAAGTCACGTACAACTGGCAGAACTAAGAGGCTGATATGACTTACTGTCTAAGATCATTAAATGTAAAGAGCCACATGGCCATATGGTTGGAGGTTAAACTAAGGAAGAAATGTTACAGTGATGAATACAGAAGACAGCATAAAAACCAACAAAGCAGAACATGGGCAGGAATGACCAAACAGAATGTGGGTGTAAACAGCAAGTTTTTACTTGAACCTCACCTTGCATTTTCAATTTCTCTGGGGGAAACTTTACACCTTTTAATAAGTTGAGTGATGTAAAACAGCAGTAGCCTGAAGACTTTAGTGGTAACAAGAGGAAATTATTAGAACTTCATCCTACATGACACACAGAGCCAAGGCGTGCCCTCACTTACAAACGTGAAACACCTTGTTGAAGTCATTTTTGTATATATCAGAAAACAGAATTTGGCCCACAGTATATGAGGACTCTGAAACCTCAGTGTTCTCTTAGTGGTTTTGACTAACTGTATAGTAAGGTGACTTGACCTGTGAATTATATGAGCAAGTAAGTTTTTCAATTGTTTTAAATACTTAAATCAAATTGCATGGGTAGTGTCCTGTGACAGGCCTATCAAAAGTAATGCAAAATTATAATGCTGTTATAGGAACTCTGCTGCATTTCAATCATTCAAGAATCCACTTCTTGATTTAATTCACATGTCCCAAACTATTTTAATGTACCTCAATGTGCATATTCCAAGACTTGAAGACTTAGAGAAAGAATGGGTTCCATGTACATTTGACATATAAAATCAACTCTCGCCATTCTTTTACATCTTAAAAATAGCCACTAATTGTGGCATAGCCTGATTTGCCAGAAACCAGTATTGAATTATTTAAAATGAGGACCACTTGGTGACAGGGTTTGCCTAGCATTCTACCCCAGGATAGGTAATACTTTTTGATGGGGGGGCCATGCCAAGATTTTGGAAAGTGGTCAAGGGCCACACTTTTCTATTGGGAGAATGTGGGGTCTGGGATGAAGGTTGGATGCAGAAGGGAGCTTGGGGTATGGGCTGGGATGAAGGAGGGGGTTGTGATCTGGACAGGGGCTTGGGGTGCAGGAGAAGGGGTGTAGAGGTTTTGGGTGGTGGCCTGGGGCAGGGAGTTGAGGTACAGGAGGAGGTGAGGTGCCAGGAGTAGGCTCTGGCCAGGAGGCATTTACCTTGGCTTCCAGCCAGTAGCCCTGCAGGACCCTGAGGCAAGCTCCCAACCTCCCACAGTCCCAGGCTGCTCAAAACAGCTGGCTGCTTCCTTCCAGTGCCTCTACTCCCTGTATAAGGGGTGGGAGAGGCTTCACATGCTGCCCCCATACCCAGCAAAATTAGCTCCTGTTGGCCAGAAACCAGCTAATGAGAGCTGAGAGATGTTGCTGGAGGGTGGATTAACATGCAACAGCTCCTCCGCTTCCCTCCATCTCGACACTGGAAGCAGAGAGTGGCAGGGGGCAGCCAGCCACTTAAAGCAGTACCGTGCTAGAGGGTCCCATTGGGGTGGCTGCAGGCCGGATCAAGCAGCATTTTGCCCACCCCAGTTCTACACAGCAAGTTTTATTTCTGCAGGTGAGTTATAAGTGGATTCTGGTGGCTCACTGTCCCACCTGGATAATAAACAGAGCTGGCACTGGCCCTGTGGAGGAATCTACTGTGTAAGAATTCTTCAGAGCAGCCAAGCCAGAGAGGTCTGCGATAAGCATATTAAGTTACAGTTAACTGAATAGTCGATAGGGACTTCCACATTCCTCCTTTGAAATAAGGAGGAATGCAGAACGCCGTGTGCAGCCTGGGGCCAGTGGGAAGTCCTCAGTTGATCCCGAGTTCCACTGAAATGCCAGCTAGGGAGTGACCAGCTGACTCTGGGCTCCACGTGCAGCAGCGCCACACAGCTGATCCAGGGCTCAGCTGTGCAGTGCTGCTGCTTTGAAATACCCTATCTTCCCCCCCCACCCTTTGCTGCCACTATCTGATGGGGGGGAGGGGGAGAGGAAATTGACTAGTCGACTGACTATCCGATAAGCATTTGCTTATCAGATAGTCAACTAGTCCTTAACATCCCAGCTACGTCTACACTGGCATGATTTTCCGGAAATACTCTTAACAGAAAAGTTTTCCGTTAAAAGCATTTTCAGAAAAGAGCATCTAGATTGGCATGGACGCTTTTCCGCAAAAGCACTTTTTGCAGAAAAGCGTCCGTGCCAATCTAGACGTGGTTTTGCGCAAAAAAACCCCTATGGCCATTTTAGCCATCGGGGCTTTTTTGCGCAAAACAGTACTGTGCTGTCTACCCTGGCCGTCTTGGAAAAACTTGCCAGCTGTCTACACTGGCCGCTTGAATTTCCGCAAGAACACTGACGATCTCATGTAAGATCGTCAGTGTTCTTGCGGAAATTCAAGCGGCCAGTGTAGACAGCTGGCAAGTTTTTCCGCAAAAGCAGATGATTTTGCGGAAAAACTTGCCAGTCTAGACACAGCCTTACTAGTTTGAGCTGATCTGAGTTAATTTTTAATGGATTTTGTTTAATAAAATCAAACTTGAGAATAGGGAGGTGCTTAGATTTTAAATACTGAAAAGACTGTGTTTATAAATTAGGCTGGGTAAGGCATGTGCTCATGTAGTACTTAATTTTAATTATGGAATTAGAGAGAAAAGTATCTTCCAAGACTAGTTAATAGAGGTTCATGAAGATCAATGTAGTTGGTTCCTTCCATGCACTGTTGGCTATTATCCACTTTCCTCATGCACAAGACAAGCCAGTTGCCTAGATAGCATTCCCAAAGCAAACCACGCTGGGTAGTGGAAGTCCTCAAGTCACTTGAAAACCTGACACACTCCCTAAATGCAAATGATGCTATCCTGCTCGAGGGAAGGTGTTATCACAAAGGTATCATGGTCTCCAGAGACAAGAGATTCTAACTATTCTCATTGACATAATACTCATTCTTGCAAAAAAAAAACTAATAAATCTATAAAACATTGTTTCAGTGATTGACATAGATTAGAAACAATTTATGTAGTACAGCCAGAGAGATAGTGTATCACTTACAACAACTTTGGGAGGACTGAATTCAAGATTGTAGACTCTGCCACTACTAGGATGGATCCAGCGTGCAGTGAGCCGTTGTTTAATGGTCTCAAATGGCACATCCAAATTAATCACAGTATCTATCTGACATGTTTCGTCCAGAGCTTCGGCCTGTGGAACTGTTCTGGGAAAACCTTTAAGAAAAATAAACTAGTAGGAGATGATCATCCCATTCCATTTCCTGAGATGACCTGTAAGTGAGGGAATGTGTCTAGAAATTAGATGCATGAAAGGTGGGAGTTGCAGCAGTATTACTGACTCACTTTGTGATTTTCTTACTCAGCCATTTTGTCCCTCTGTTTACTCAGCTGCAAAAACAAGCCTTACACTTCACAGGGCTGTTAGGAAAGTTGAAGTGCTTCAAGACACTTGGATGAAAGTTGTGGTAAATACCATTTCAATGAGATCATACATATTTGACCTAGTCCTGTATCAATAAAGTATATGCAGAGGTACAATGGAGCATGTATAGTAGCTTGAGTGCAGAGGAAAAACACTTACTGCTCTGAAAAAAGAAATCTGATTCTAAAAATCTCACCGCAGCAACTTACAGCCTCTCCATCTGTAGTGCTGCAGTAGAAGCCAATAAACAGTTTTCAGCCTGTGGAAGCTGACACTTTGCCATATCAGCATTACAGCTGCTTAGTATACAACTCAGTTCACTCTGCCCTAGAACTACCCATGATGAACTGTGGTAACAGAACTAAGCTTTCTCAGATTAAGATACTTAATAGACCAATATTATTTATATAGCATTTAAACTCCATTAAACTTCATGGAATTACACTAGCTATGATTTTGGTCCAAGGTCCCTATGCCAAAGAGTTTCCAGTTTAAACTAAGAGAGGACATGGAGACAGTATGTATCAGTTGTGGAGCTCTGCTTCATTCTGTCCATTGAAGGCCAAAAGTGCTATTGGCTATACGGCTGCGCATTCAGAGCTGCATGGTTGTAACTGCACATTGAATATGACTAAAAGTAACACAGAGATCTGCCAAACATCTGTCTTATTGAATAGGTATTCCTGCCCCCATTCACTCACAGGATAAAACCTATGTATTCCAACAAGACAGAGATCCTGCAGGGGAACTAGAGAAGTTAGTATGTGAACATGTAGTTACAGACTACACAAGCAAGAGGGCACAGCTGAGTTAGTTTTGGTATTTCATGGCTTGACTGTTTCACTTTGTAACTTTACAAAAACATGGTTATACCCATAAAGATTTAAAAAAAATACTGCACAACAAAAATTCTGCTGTTTGTATTATACCATAATAACTAGAAGACCAAGTCATGGACGAGATCCTCATTGTGACAGGTGTTGTATGAACTAATATAATTTTGATTTTTCACCTTTCATCCAAGAATCACAAAACATGTTATTAAGCTTCACAGTATCCCTGTAAGGTAGAATGCCTACTATTATCCACATTTTACATATGGGGAAAGTAAAGGAGGAAGGCTATGATTTGCCCAAGGTCACACAGCAGGTTAATAGAAGTCAGAAGCAGAACTCTGATTTTTAGACTTAAGACGAGGAGGGATGTGAAGAGATAATCAGTTAACTGGTACCGGAAGCAGCCCATCATGGGCAGAGGGCTGCTCTTGTCCTACAGGGGTCGGGAGTTGGTTCCCCTAAGCTTGGGGTTACCAGCTTGTGCTGCCACTCTCCGACTCCATGTAGGATCCTGCTTAAATTGGTTAACAAGTTAAAGCTAAGGTTTATCCAGTTAACTGATTAACCAGGATTTTACATGCCTACTCAAGACCTTGGCATAATTGCTAGGTGCTCATTACTTGTCAAAGTCAGAGACACACAATCTTTCCCATTTACATTTCCTGCCCCTCTTCCTTCCTCCTCCCCCCACCCAGAACCCCATGCCAAGGTATATCCTTCTACAGTCTCTGCTGAGCACCAAACCACCTTCACCCACAAGCTCACCCAGCATCAACCGTGTCATGATATCATCTGGAATAAGCTGCCCTTGATCAATGTAGGTCTTGGCAATGACACCAACCTCTAGGGAAGCAAAACAAACCGCATATCAATTTAGCAATGCCCCTCAGCAGCCCAGCAATCTACAAACAACTTTAGTCAGAAGCCTGACGATGGCAGGATTGTGAATTGTCAGTGACTGACATGTGGCTTGTTTAATTTTTTTTAATTCCCTCATTTTCACTACAACTTACAGTGGATGCCAAAGGACTATTCACAATTAGTAAAGTTAATCACATGTGTGTTTGCAAGATCAGGTCCTAAGACTGGAAAAACGAGAAAGCTACCAGTGGAGCCTCTTTAAAAGGCAGAATGACTCTGCAACCAGTAAAAATGAAAGGGCCTAGCTTTACTTCATATTTCCTGCTCAAAAATTGAGCCCCTATTTTTCTGCATGTATTTAGCATTTAAGTTCTACAGACTGGTGGACATTAATGTCTTCTTCAGATGCATGTTTTCACTAAACAACATCACAGTTTTAGCTATATGCCTCCTGGAGTATTTAATAAAGCAACATGCAGTAGAAACACTGCAGCTAGAGAATGTTATTTCTATCACGTTATCCAGATTTGCAAGTTTTATAAGTGATGTATGTCTTCACAAATTGTTTGTGGGCATTACTGTATTCACATTGACTATCATTTTGGACCAGCACTCCCTCCCACTGTCTTGATTAGATGGCAACCATTTATTATGGTTGGTTTCACAAAAAACAAACAAAAAATACACAACACATGCCCTAACAAATTGTTATATAAATATGCTCTAGCTTATGCAGAAGTTAGGGGTCTGTTGCAGAAGTTATTTAGTGAGGTTCTTTGGACGGTGTTATCCAAGTCAGCTAGATCAATGATTCTCTCCTGAAGGTATACAGAAGTCTTCCAAAGAGTACATCAGCTCATCTATATATTTCCTCCGTTTTACAACAAACTACATACACTAGAAAAGTCAGTACAAACTACAATTTAATACAGACAATTATTTGTTTATACTATACACTGAAAAGTACAATATTTATATTTCACTTGATTTATATTATAATAATATAGTATTATAGGAGACAGCAATTTTTCAGCAGTAATTTGCTGTGACAATTTTATATTTTTATGTCTGATTTTCTAAGTAAGTAGTTTTTAAGTCAAGTGAAATGCACGTATGTGAGACAAATAACCTTCTTATAAAGGGTACAGTAGTTTGAAAAGGCGAAGAGCAACTGAACTAGATGATCGTAACGATGTCTTCTGCCCTTTAACTATAAAATTACAGCCCAGTTCCACCCAGTGTAGAACTTGATTGATTTTGTACATGGGGATTTGCAGAACTGGATCATCACTATTAATTCAGATACTTAATTTTCTTCTTGAGCTAGCTACAGGATCCCAAACTAGAGAGTTGGATGGCAATGGAAAGACACCGGAAAACTGCAAATACCAAAACCTTAACAATGTTTAGAGTTTTTGCTGCAGTTCATCTAATTACTGTTTTCTGCATGCTTAAAGAAAGTATTAGAAGGCACTCACATACTACGGTGATGAGGGCAATATGCAAACTTGAAGAGAAAATGAAGTTTTCCATTTACAGAGTATTCCTAGCTCCTTCCCTAATAAGTCTCAGATGCCTCTAATGCAACTGATGCCCTCAAACACTGGAAAAGGGGGGCCTCCTGGTTTTGTTTTTAAAGCAGTAATAGGAAGACAGAAATATCTTCCTTAATTAAGGCAAAGTGCTCATATTCACAACTAGGCTTTGGAATAACACTGTCACTTTGAGATAGCCATCAGCCATGCCGCTCAGATCCAGATGTCAAATAACCTCAGTTTAGAAACAGTCAACGTCATGGCAGTTTTAAAATCAAAACAACTGGAATCCAAACACCTTTCCTTCTCTGAATCCATGCAACCCCTTTCCTAGTCCCAGCATGTGCTCTCAGCCCAACCTTCTCCAAAAAGGCATAGCTTTCCTTACTCTGCATTAGGGGTCTGCAACCTATGGCTCTAGAACAGGGCTCTTGTCATTCCCAAAATACAACATTTTTTAAATTAAAATGAAAAATTAATTCAAAAATTTAAAAACACATAATTATGTCAAGAATTTTTTTGGTCTATTTCACCTTTAACTGTTCATTTTAACAAACATCCATCCTCTCCAGTAATTGGGGGTTATGCATATTCTCTTTTTATTTGATTGGTCAAGAAATCTTTCTATCACCATACATGATAGTGAACTCTGTAACCCCCTAACAGTAAAAATGGCGAAGAGAAAGAGAAATTATGAGTACTGAAATTTTCAAAAGGAGTGAGCAAACTTGTAGGCATTTGTGGATAGGTGTGGATCTCCACTTTGTCTCATTTGTAGCGAGAAACTGTTCTCAAATAAACAAAAAAAAACCCCGAATTTTATGACAAAACATGCAGCAGTTGCTACAAACAGGAGCAGCCCTAGACGAGCTGCCGGCAACTAGCGCCCAGGTGAAACGCACGATCGGCGCCCCTGCCTCCAAAGCCCTCAACAGCCATTTATCTTGGTGCCCTAGGCGACCACCTAGTTCGCTTGTATTGACGGGCCGCCACTGGCTACAAAACACACTAAGGGTAACACATGAAAAAAAAAGGAGCTGCAATAAAAAGCAAGGAGCTGCAACATAAAATGAACATTGAACAAAATAGACTGCTGGCATGGTCAAAAAGAGGTGGGAGCTTAAACTCCACAAGTTTTGCAGATTCATACAGCAGTATCAAGAGGAAACGCTTTTCGCTGATGGGGATTACATGAAGAGATGCATGCTAAAAATTGGTCAGGAACTATTTGACGAGTTTCACAACTTGGACAAAAATCTTACAGAAAATTCAAGACATGCCATTATTGGCAAAAAATGTGAAAATGGCCCATCAAATCGACACGAAACAAATGCAAAATTTGAGTAAAGCTGCTTTTTTTTTTAGTTTGCTTTGAACAAGACAACTGACATATGTGATGTTAATTGTGTATTCTGGGATGATATATTTATGGAAATGCTGTGCATGAAGAAATGATTGAGAAATTACCAATGGAAAAAAAAATCAAACAAGGGGTAAAGACATCCTTAAAACCGTGATGAACTTGGTAAATGAGAAATACAGTTGGATAATCTTGTGTCTGCGTACAGATGGTCAGCAAACAAAGGGGATTCCTTACTCTTTTCAGAACAACTGAACCACCCACTTTAAACTTTCACTGTATTGTGCACCAGAAGGCACTTTGTACACAATCTTGTGGAAGCGAATTCAGAAATGGGACTGGTCATTCTCAGTGTCAATTGGATTCTTGCCTTAATCACCATCAATTTCAGTCACTGCTCGAGGAAGTCAATTCCAAATAACCCAATCTACTAATGCACAATGTTCACTGGTTATCTCGTGGCAAAGTTTTGTCTTGTTTTGCCATCTGCATTAATGAGATCAAGTCATTTTTCGATATGAACGGTGTCTAACACACAGAGCTTTCAGACTGTGACTGGTTGGTCAAGCTTTACTATATTGTGGACATTACCAGTCATTTGAATGAGTTGAATCTTAAACTACAAGGACAAGGAAATACAGTCCTGACTCTGCAGCAGGCAGTGTTTGTGTCCGAGTCAAAATTGACTGTCTTCATCAAAGATATCAAGATGGGCAGACTGGCACATTTTGAAAGATTACGAATGTTTCATGATTCGTATCAGAGAAAGAGTCCAAATAACAGCCTTGATTTGCAGCAGCTTGCCAGGTTTGTTTCTGAGCTCCTAATGGCATATGAGTCTCGTTTTGTTGACTTTTGCAAACATAGTGCTTTGTTTAAGTTTATGATTCGTCCACATAACGCGTCCGATGGAGAACTGATTTGACGGTCATCTCAGTCAGTGATTTTGGAAATGAAAATTGTGCAGATTTCAATGAGTCAGATATCTGGGTGGAAAAATTCATCATGCTGAATTCTGATTTAGAATGCCTTGCTCGACAATGTGCAGAATTGATTAAACTGCACAAAAAGGCTGACTTGAAGAAATTGGAGCATGATGATAATCTGATTCTGCAATTTTTGAAAGAAACTTCCTGTCACATACAACACCATGCAGAATGTCAGCTTGGCTTTACTTTCGGTGTTTGGCTCCACCTATATATGTGAGCAGGCTTTCATTTGAATCACAAAGGTAATTTGCACTCAAGATTTACAGAAGACACCCTGATTGTATGTGCGAAGCTAAATTTGACCAGGTATGATGTAAACTTCAAAGAAAAGTACAAAAAGATGCAGCAACAGAAGTCCCATTAAGTCCCTAAATACAATGTTTCATTTATGCTATTATTAATCATCGTGTCAATTATTAGTAATATTAAGTTGTATATTTTCAGTCATGCAAATCGGCATTCTTATACTGGCTCTTTGTTGACCACTTGTTCCGAATTTTAATGTAGTTTGGCTCTTTGGTTTGAAAAGGTTGCTGACCCCTGCTCTGCATACATTTCAAAGAGGATTTCTCTCACTACAATCAAGACTACATGGAAGGAAGAAGACATGGAAACCTGGCCCTCATGAGTTTTGTCCTGGTGAGCTAGCTAAAGTGACACTGGGAAGGAGAATCCCTTCATCATAAAAATGGAAAGGGAGACTCTCCCTGCCATAGACTGGGACTCCTCATACTCCACACATTTCCCTCTGCTGGGGCCCTGAGGGTTTGGTGGCAGGGGAACACAAAGCAGGGGTAAGACTCCTCTGCCAGTGCACAAACAGCAGCATGTGGGGCAAGTTAGGTATTAAGCGGTACTAACTCACTCCACTTGGTTTCCACAGTAGTTCCCCCTTGAGCAGCTCCGGGGTACGGAACTCCATCAATGGCACTACAGTTCCTGAGGAAAAGGAATGCCAGTGTATGATGGTTCTAAATCTTCGTCCAACAGCATTTCCCCTAGAAACTCAAACCCAAACAACAGAGTAGCCAGGCTCTAAAAACCTCTCATAAAGGCAAGAAGTGATCACTCAACCAATAGCGCCTGAGGTGAAGGAGG